GGATTACATCCCTGCACATGCTTGCAATTGGTCAACTAACCGAACCAATGGAGGCTTGTAGACAAAATTCCAACTGTTGAGTTTGAGTACAAGAGGAATAAAACCAAAAGTGAGCTAGAAAAACATTCTGACTGTTGGAGTACTCTAAAGCTTGGGCTAAAAGTCAGGAAGCATTCTGATGTCACACACAGATAGACATGTGATTACACGTCTTTGCTACGCTAATAGTGCTACTGGTGTTAGCAATGCTTTTAAACCCTATCCTCATTGAAATTCAGTGAGACATTACAGCATGGTTGCGACTTATTTGGTAGCTGCATTATTGGCTAACATCTGGCTATCTGGTAGTTTGGTGGTACTGCAGGTAGATGGCGCCACGTCTATTTATATCAGCTCATCGTACCCAATGCTGAGGTTCCATTTAGGCTCAAAAAGGACTATCAACACACTATCAGGATGGAAAAATGGACAACACATACTTATTATATCATAATGAACTAGATTTAGGTCTTTTTGCATTAGGATATAATGCTTATAATGCGACTACAGTATGCACCTTTAATGGTCTCTATTTATATTCAGACTGCTTAAGGTGATTAAGTGTATGAATAAATGAAAAACGCCAACAGGGACTTTCGGTTGACACATTTAGAGAAGAACAAGGACAACATTGCTGTTATGATCACATTTAGACTAAATTCATTTTACGTTTTGGCTTACTTGAATTTTAAAGATCAAGCTTCCAGCCTAAGTTTTCCATGGATCTTGTAGCGACACAGGAATAAAAAATACAGAAAGCTGTGTTATGAAACCAAAAAAAAAAGTAAACAGTTCTTGAAGGTTGACAGAACACAGGAGAGAGAGATCACGCTGTACATGATGGGCAGTTGAAGTCAGAGAACCGTATGCTTTATGTTTACATGCGTAGGAGATGGAGAGTATAAGGCTCTTTGCTTCTACTTCATAATCATTGAGAGGCTCTGGATGGAGGAAGATATGTC